TATATATATATATATATATATATATATATCATATATCATGTTATTTTCATATGCCATCAACATCCTAGTCTCCTACTGCTAAACCTTTTCTTAAATATGTTTTACATCATATTTCATTACACACACTATGGATTCTACTCTTCAACTAATTATTTTCTCACTTAACCATTCATAAATACAATGGTCATCACTGTTTGCTCTCACCTGCAGTGGTTTCTTCATTTCTGTCTTTTCCACATTATCTTTTGCAGAATTTGAAAATTCTTCTGGTGAAGATTTATTTCCTGTATGTCTGAACACAGATACTGATATGGAAGGTAATTCTGACTGATGATCTGAGAGATCTGCTTTCTCCTAATAATAATAAAATAAGCTAGACTTATAAAACAGCTAAAAAAAAAAATTAAACTAGCACTTATTAAGAATAATGAATATTTTTAGCATCATTTCAATTTTTTGAAATGCTAATAAATTCTGACAAACAGAGCACTATTTTCTGTTATAAACCCATAATAACACTTAATCTAATTATAATGGTTTTGGATATACTTTTAATACATACTTTGAGATTTAGTCTTAGAATTTGACATGGGAATTTTTAATTGTTACATATTTACCACTGGTGTGTCCAGCATTGAGCCAACACCTCTACACTACGTCAATAAAGTATGGACAGATAAATTAAAAAACACCATTCATAAGCTTTAATGTTAATATTTTTAACAATAAGATTAAAGAATAGGAAATATTTTAATTATTACAGCACTCAATAGGACCACAGGAGTACCTTGAACTACTAAGATCACATTTTAAAAGTGCCTTAGTTGATTTTAATCCTGCTAGTTACCTCCTAATCTAGAAATGTATTTCTGATATATACTCATCTCTGTAATTTCCCTTACACATCTGTCTATGAGATGTGCATGTCACTAGCTTTGAGCTAACTCCTACCTACATGTTTAATGTGAACTACACTGGTGCATAATGACATCATCATGCAATAATAGCCTTCCACCAATAGGAGGGAGACACAACCTCCATGCACAGTAACTCCCCGATGCACCTGTGCTTGAGATAACTGCATTATTAGACAAGATAAAAATTAAAAAGGGGCACCAGAAGTGGAGGAAGGGTGAGAATGTGTGTGGTGGTATCTATTAGAAATACATTTTCTAATTAGGAAATTGTTAACTTCCAAGATAATACCTCAACTCTTTACGCAGAATACTAGAATCCCACATCGAATTAGTGAAGGAGCAAATTTTAAACCTAGATAAACTCCCTTCAGAAAGTACCAGAAGGGAAAGCCCATAAAGTGTGAGACCTAATGGCAGAGGCTCCATACAGGCACACCCATGGGAGACTGTATTTCATCTCGACCAGGGTATACTCTTTCCCTGAAATGAAAAGGAGAGAAAGGTTAAGGATGGGCAGAATGTGATCATGACTAACTGAGCACTTGCACACAAGTTGTCAATGAGCCAGTATGTGTAGTGTGGTTAGGGGTGTAATTAGACTGTACTGTGTGTGTTCATCTCGACTCAACTGGACAGGCTCTGGCTGCAGGAGGGGGAGCACATTAACAATAAAACAATAAAATTAAATATAAATAGATGTATGCTGTTACAATCTTTAAGCTACTTATGATAAACAATTGTGGTTTGTTGTTACAATTTGCAGTCATTCCAAAAAAAAAAAAGGCAACTTAGAATTATTTCCTAATATTTTTTCTGGTGGTTACAAAGTCGATCAACTCAACCAACTTTTTACAGAATTACAATTGTAAATCACTTCACAAACAACATATAACTCACATTACCCTATCAAGTTATATGAAACACAGGCTAATCTTGAGCTGCTCACGAGTATATCTTGTGAAAAATGGTTTTTTTTCTTTATCTTATGTAATCTAACCTTATCTAACCTAATAGGTTTCTAATTTTTAACATTTTAGTTACTTTTATAATAACAAGTAAAGAACACACATAAAAAACAAGAAATATAGCACTTATCTGGGTCTATTTTTTTTTGGTGTCGATTATCAATGAAACTTAACCCTATTTTTTTTTAATACTAAAATACTGCAATAAATGACTTTTTATTTAATTAAATAATGCACCTAATAGCACAGAATAATAACAGACAAAAACCAGACAATGTCCTATAACCACCATAATTTTTCTGGCTTTCTAACTATGTGATAAAAGGCATTAAAAATTCAGCTAATATCGTTGATGTGTTTCACATGGGAATAAAGTTTAAACTGGAAGCAAAATAGACAATTCTCTGTGCAGAAAACAACGTAATTAATATTATATGTTATTTGATAAATTAAAAATTTTGGCTTTCTGTTGGTTATAAATAATATAGTATTAAACATCAGAGAGAAGTATTGGCAATTTGTGAAAGAGAGGATGTGATAGGTGGGTGTGGCAAGAAAGTTATGATTTTCTAATCTATGGCTCTGAAACCAAGTAAGATTGAAGGCTATAAAAACTATGATATAGTTATTACTCAAGCAAAGTGTAACAACTAATTTACATTAAAATCTTTACTTCATGGAAGAATAGTAAATAAATCAGAGTAGAAGAGAAGACAGAGAGCAAATGTCACAGTTCTCATACTAAGGAAGATTGAGGATTTTTTTAAATAAATTAGAGTGGAAGAGAAGACAGAGCAAATGTCACAGTTCTCATACTAAGGAAGATTGAGGATTTTTTTAAATAAATTAGAGTAGAAGAGAAGACAGAGCAAATGTCACAGTTCTCATACTATGGAAGATTGAGGATTTTTTTAAATAAATTAGAGTGGAAGAGAAGACAGAGCAAATGTCACAGTTCTCATACTATGGAAGATTGAGGATTTTTTTAAATAAATTAGAGTGGAAGAGAAGACAGAGCAAATGTCACAG